AAAAGGGGACATAAAAGATAGCTTCCTTTTCAAAACCGATTTATGAAACCTAAGGCGGAATGTGGTAGATGGGAAGGTAACCTTCTGGTTGACATAATTACCTCTTTGATTGCATTTGCCGCAAATGCTGCACCCTGCGTGCTCCTTCGCCCTATTTACATATGCTCGAGCAGGCGCGTTACATAAAGCAGTCCCTAATTCAACAGACATGAGCCTGAAGCATGCAGGAACCGTGAAACCCGTTGTCAACAGCACATGCAAATCACGTATCAGGGGAGTTAGAAATTCATTCACATCCGGTTTCTCAGGACCACCGTAAACACCAATAACAAACGAGTTTGACTTCACGGGGTAAATAGCTCGACACTGAATCGGCCAGAGCTGCATTTTCGAGGAGTTGTACGGGGTGAAAGCATCGAAATGCAGCTGGACAACAACCCTTTCCGGCGGCTGTATGTCACCATCCTGGTAAATACTGCATAGACCCCGCAGCAGCCCAATGTGTCCATATGCACCAGCACCAATGCTAATGGTCTGTACATTCCTTGGGGTTCTCATAAGCGTTCGGTAATCTTTCGGTATCCAAGGCATGCTCTTGCGAAAGGCTGAAAGCAACTTGTTAACGGAAGAAATGCTGGGTCGTGCGGTTCGCACCCATTGTCTTAAGTCTTCCATAACATCAGTGGTTGCAATGCGATCGGCGTCCCTGCAGATAACGGATTGCTCCGCTTCCAATTCTGACGATGAAGCCCATACACCACTACCAATGCTTGGCACTGCCGTTGTACTTCTCTCAGCTACGGCATTCTGCGGGCTTCGTTGTATCTGTATGGCATTCGTGCACAAACGTCCTATTGCTTGTTATATGAGGTAGCCAGCAATAACATAGGGTGATTATATGTTACCGGTATATGGCAATGGTTCACATAGTGTAGGCATTGGGATAGCATTTTCTGTACTCTCCACAAAACAATCACTTTGATCAATTTGTCCGAGACGTCTTTTCGCGCGCAAATACCGATCCCGCAATGTGCGGTCACTAGGCAGCATGAAAGGCCAATGTCGGTTTGTGCACTGAGGTCTCATTAATAATGCTGAACATCCAAAGTTACCTTCAAGGTGGCGACGTACATTTAAAAAGACCTGAATGAGTAAAAGCACCGAAACTTCCTGCAATGTCGCCACCGATATTACTAAGCGAATGCGCCCTGTAAAATAGAATAAATGCTCAAAATGAAGCTATATATGTAGAGCCGAAGTAATTGAGCAAGTGAAGATAACAATGCGCAAACGGTGCGTTAAGTCGATAGCACCTAAGGCAAACCAACGACAAAGCTTGGGAAGAAAAATAAGCTGAACCAGTTATGTTTGCAATATTATAATTAAAATATTTACGGCGCTTCTTATACCTAAACCACGTCAAAAAGGCTTCCTACCAACTCAAACTTATTTCTCACCTGTCGAAAATGCACAACAAAAAGTGAAGCCCACTACAGCGAAGCAGAATTGGTAACCAAACGGAGCAGTGCCAGAGGAACCTGAACATTTAAGAGCGCGGCGAAATTCAAAACTTGGGAAGATGACCCTTTCTAAGAAATCATGTACGATTTTTTGACAGAACAAAGCGGTTAAACAGTTAGGCTTATTTATCAGTTAACATAACCTACACACACATGTACAGCCCTTGCTGGAATACGGAGTAGATCAGGTAGCCACCAATAATTCACTGAATGACGTTGAAGCACTTTTGAAGGACTTTGACGAACGAAAAAGGACCTCATGTGCTAGCAGGGGTAGAATCAAAAAGCGTATGGGCAGATTGCTAACGTCTACGTAGAGACAAGGGCGTTATACCAGTAAGTAATCTACACATTATATTCAAAAATTATGTGTAGTTCCTGACCTACCAATCGGGCACAGCTATTCGTTCAAAACAGGATGGGACGCAGGAACGCAATAAGCACTCTCCTACCGCATCAGCCAGCAGAAAAATGGGACGCAACTTGCCCGCGAATAACCGAGCAAACAAACTTTCAACAAGGAACATAACCAGTTACAACTTGCCATGCAATGGATTGGCGACGGTGTTTCAGGACGTGGTGGGTTTTTGCCTGACAAGCGTTCTCCCCATAAAAAGCCACAAATATCCGTTTAACCATACTGCCACCGAGTAAAGTCGCAGCCCATAACTTCACACCGGCAGGTCAACTAGCGTCACCATTCTAGAACGGTTCGTTACACTGGAAATTCTACATATACATTTACGGTCATCTCCATTTGCTACGCTTTCACGCCTATACTGTCATCCTTATACTTTCTACGATATCACCGTTGACCTTTGCGTTACCTATGCATAAACTCACCGTATTGTCATATCCCTCGAGCGCGCTGTTTAATTATCTTCCAATGGATCATGGGAGCTGGGCTCTAACCAAGGGCGGCATTTTTGTTACGAGCCAAGGTGAAATGGAACAGCAAGCATGAAGGAAGCAATAACGTGTGTTAATAAATGATTAATAAGGTTTCAATACTCAAATGGTATACACTTATTATGGTTATAAGTAAGTGAAGTTATCTAACTTTGTTAGTGAAGTAGTTTACGGTATCCTTGGTAACACATGCCCCACAAATCCGAAATGAAGAATTACATGGAAATAATGGGGACCGTTCTATCCGCCACTGGCGCGATTTTGAATGCGGGCTGTTGTTCATCAGGACAACCTGTTTCTGCGTTCTCAAAAAGTAAGGGTTTTATTGGGTACTTGCGCAACGTGTTTGTAAAGAGGTCAGTACCTCCAAAAATCCAAAAACTGATCTGTACCATGCCTAATTGCGAAGTTGAATAAAAGTGGAAAAGTTGAAATATAACAGTAAGTTGTTAAAAAGGAAACGGAATATAAAAATGGTTTATGGAAGTCCACTGTATGTATCGGAAAAAAGAAGGAAGTGGGAGAATGTATGGTAAATTGTCCAAGACACAGGAGAATCCACCTACAACCTAAAACCGTGTGTACCGGAATCACACTGCCGAAAAAACCTTATTTTCAAGTCGCGGATGGGACGCTTCGAGATAATGGTGTTTCAATTGTGTCTTGAACGTTGAAATATCTTAGTCGTCTAATAAACGTAAACGTATTTCAAGTATACAATGAATTAAAATCTGCTGAAATAATGTGTAGAATGTATAAGTTAGGCTTACCTCAATTTCATGTTCAATTTGGACAGGAACGGTAGGAAATTCCCATGGGTGTTCCTTCTTCAATGCGTCGTTGAACCCAGAGCTTCGCGGGAGCGATTTGAAACCGAGAGGAGCCAAATCAATACACACGAATCACATAACTGTCAACCAATCAAGGCCCACGCGGCCTGCACTAGCAGTCCCCACTGTACCGGCCACGTGAATAGAATAAAGGTTAAGAGCAGGGTACCAACAAAAACAAAATAATGGTAAATGTAGTACAGGAGAGAATGAGTGGTTAAGCCAATAATAATAATAGATGTGCGAAGCCAAGGAAATAGATGTAGAGGTTAAGAACCCAACGGAAAGGTCTGAAACTGTAACCCAAGGGCGTCGAGTCGATGTACAAACTCCTTCACCGTTGGTGCCTTCCATGAGTCGATGACCCTGCGTGACAAACGAACATCAGCTCTAACGTGATCAGATCTAGGCCTATGCAACTTCAGAGGGTGACCACGAAAAGATGGCATCTGAGCTGGTTGGAACAGTCCAGTTACAGCAGGCCCAATCTTGTTGGTCAATATACGGTACGTAAGAATCAGGTCTCTCCGAAGGCGCCTATAGTGCAGCGAAAACATATGCAACCTGAGCAGCCTATCGGGATCCGAGATACTGATACTGATTAGAAGCAGCGAGTAGAGCATACTCTGTGTAGCTGCATCAATGGTTGCTCTTGGGCATTAACTTATTAATTATCGTTCCGCTCTCTATATTTTGCCTCTGCAAAGTACTTGTCTAGCAGCTTCTTAAATTCGGCCACTGAATTCGCCTCTATTACCGGCTGCGGCAGGTTGTTCTAGGTATTCACCACTCTACGTTCGAAACATAGTTGGTGCGCGACCCGCTTCAACTGCGGTACGATAAGTTTGTACCGGTGTCCTCGCGTGCTGCTTGGTGTACGCAGATGAAGTAGTTGTCTCAACATGGGGTAGTCACTCAGATGTAATATCCGGTGCGTCATGATTAGGTCAACCCTCAGCCGACGATATGCTAGGGTGTACAGCCCTAGTTTCTTACATCGGTCTTCATATGGCATACCTCGTAAGTTGAGAATCAGCCTAGTGGCTACATGCTGCACCCGCTCAAGCTTTTCTATCTCGCCCAGCTTGATGAGACCATATGCGGGAGAGCCGTACTCTATCATTGGTCGTATTATCGAGACGAAGAGGCGAGTGGCAATCTCTTCGGACCAAGTGTTGAAGCTGCGCCTGAGCGCCCAAAGCATCCGAAGGCTGTTTTGATACAGCCTATTCGTGCTGTCAATGGACTTTAGGTCGCAGCGTGAGAGCACACCGAGGTCGCGCACGAAAGACGCGGGATGCAGCGGTTGACCAGCCACTGTGTAGGTTCGGATGTGCTCGCGTTTACCCAACCTCATGAATTGCGACTTGGCAGGGTTGATCGGAAGGTTAACCTCTGCAGACCATGTTAAGAGGTTGTCGAGCTCATGCTGAAGTAACCCACAAACATTGAGTGTGCGGATTACTCTCCACACCTTCAAGTCATCTGCGAACAGCGCACATGGTGATTGGAGTAGCTGAGGGACATCCTTTACATGGATCAGAAACAATATGGGCCCCAGTACAGTGCATTGGGGCACGCCGCTGCTCGATGGATACCAGTTCGTTAGACGGTCGTCCACCTGGACTCGCCACTTCCGATCAACAAGGAAATTTCTGATCCATTTGTGTAGCGAACCACCAACACCGTACATCCTCAGCCTGTCAAGGAGAACTGCATGGTTAACCTTGTCAAAAGCCTTACTGAAGTCAATGTAAATGACATCGAATGAATGGCCTTTGTTCATCGCCTGTAACCACTCGTGCCTTGTCGACAGTAGGTTGGTGATGCACGAGCGACCTTTCAGGAAACCATGCTGTGCGGAGGTCAACAGGTTTTTCGACTCGAGAAGCTGCAGAAGGTTCTTCTTCACGATCTTCTCGAGCGTCTTTGCCAAAACAGCAGTCAGGCAGATCGGCCGGTAGTTATCCACTTTACTTGGGTTACCAACTTTCAGTATAGGCTTTAGGACTGAGCATTTCCAGTCGTCTGGTGACAGCCCCGTAGATAGTGATCTGTTAAACAGTTCAGTTACAGACGGCGCGATGATGGCCGATAGGGACTTGAGGATCAGTGGGTGTACACCATCTGGCCCAGTAGGCTTTGCCCCGTCAAGATTTGCTAGAAGCTTGCGAACCTCCTCAATATTGCAGTCCAGGCTGTTAAGTTCGGCTGGAGCGGTACACGTCGAACTCGTTACAGGCACCTGGTCACTTGCAAATACGGAGGCGAAGTGCGTCGCCAATGCGGACGCACGATCTGTACTCGAGGTTAGGGGCCGTCCATCGGAGCCTTCTAACACTGGGACATTGGCTACAGGCCTCAGGCGCCGCTTCACGTATGCAAAGATCCTCTTGGGGGCAGTTTTTGTACCAACCCTCAGAACTCCTTCAATTGTCATCTTATCGCGTACCAAGCATGGAAGACAGGCCTGCACGCAGTACTCCAATTATGGCCTGACGAAGGCTAAGAACAATATAACAAACCTTTCATTTGTTATAATACAGAATGACCTGTGGATCATCCACAGCATTCGGAAACCCTTGCGGGTAGTACTTGTCTAGTTCTCGCTGGATTTGAAGTCAGAGGATAACGAGATACCCAAGTCGGTTTGTTCAGTCACTTGACGCAATGCATTTTCGTCAAGTACGTAAGAAGTTGTGGAAGTGCTTGATCCTATGCGCAGGACCGAACACTTTGCAAGATTGACTGGCAGCTGCCAGAATTCTGCCCACTCCCAGAGCTTGTCGAGAGCTGTCTGTAAAGCCGTGGGCCCAACAGAATCGCTCAATGTATTCCAAAATTTTAAGTCATCCGCAAACATAAGGGATGGTACCTTAAGCATCTCAGTGAGGTCATTGACATACAATGCAAACAGTAGAGGTCCGAGAACCGACCCCTGAAGAACACCACTCAGAACGGCTTGTCTGAAAGACAGCCCGGAACCCACTCGGACGCTCATCTGCCTTCCTTCCAGGAAAGCCGAAATCCACTTCAATACTTGGCCTGAAACGCCGTAGGATTCTAGTTTAAGCAAAAGACGGCAATGCGGTACGGCGTCAAGGGCTTTAGAAAAGTCGATGAACAACACATCCACTGCCTGTCCTTGATCCACAGCCTCAGCCCAGCACTCTCGGGCTACCAACATGTTAGTCGCATGGTGTGTTGTAATTGTTCGTTGGTGATGAATTCTTATGAAATCTCATTTTCTGCAACGGAGAAATCAGGGAATCAGCAACGTGCAATAAATGAAAGCAGGCAGAAATATTAAACGTTAATGGTAGGGTTGTTGAATGTAAACCGGGACGGAGATGGTGAAGGCATGATATTGTGAAGTATGCAATGAAATGGATGAAGTTGTAAATTCCGTATGAGAACTAAAGATGACGAAATAATGATCTGCATAAAGTGCGTGCTAAGAAAGTGAAAAGGGTTATATTAACCGAATAAGAAGTGCACAGTTGTGTACGGTGTATAAGTATGAGCAAATTATTGACGTTGAATTAACTTGGAAGTAATAATGTGCGGGCCATTCATCCTGGAGATAGAGGAAAGGTGGTGCAAGTGGAATGATGTATAAAGATAGCATGATATATAATGTATAAGCGGTAGCATTTGTGAAGTAATGTTACATTGCAGTGAGAAATGAAATCCATATACCCCAGGTAGTATGGATATATGTATGTAGTCCGAATGGTAGGGATAATTTTTCAAGTATTTATATCATACCTATTATGATAATGGAAATGAGGAAAAATGGTGCAATATACTATGAGGATAAGTGTATTTCCCCAGAAAAAAGTGAAAAAATGATATCCATATACATGTATATTTATATATAAATATAAATATTTATATATGGATATATGAATGCATGATAACGCATGTATATCTATTTAAACCTGTTTTATTAATGGAGTGCATATGGATGTTTTCAATTATGACTTACTTGGGGAAATGTGGTAACGCCTTCGATCGGTAACTGGGTGTGTTTCGTATGTGTGGAGGCCAGATTCTTCCGTGGAATGTCAGCGCTGGGAGTCATCATGCAGCACAATAACAGGCTATGGCCATGAATGATGCTACCTGTACCTGTGAACTGCGACGTAGGCCTGCATACTGAGTTCCTGTAAGCGACAAGCACTGAACGTTTCTAAAAGTTAATGAGCAGGTAAGTACGCATGCATGGTATGTGAAAGTAAATGTGCTCACGTTGACACACTTGAGGAATACGGAATAATGAAATCGCTTGCTGAATTCAATGGCATAGGAAGGGTTGCGCATGAGGAAGAAGGTGTACAGCAAATGGAGACGTATGCGTCACTGGGACGGTAGTTTAGTAGTGAGAACAGGCAATACAGCGAAATGGCGCTGCTGTAGTTAGAGTTGGGTGTGTTCGAATTCTCATAGCTATCAAAGGGACAACGCTTGGAAATGAATGTCGATTTTCGTTCACGTCATAGAATGGCTATGCTTCAGAACCGGAGGTGTAATAGAGGCGTAGGGAATATGGTGTAGGATTACGGACCCATCCACGGAATTGTGTGCGAAGGAATGCTGGCCATTCGTAGTAAGCGTATGTAATTTTCACAGATGTGGCATGGTTGTGCGCACTGAAGAGTGCTCTCTTTGTTACCTGGCCCGCATGACTATTGCACGGAGAAGTATTATAGATGGCATAAGAGGGGACGCATGCTCGCAAAATAAGTGGTAGCTATTTAGGCGTCACTAGCTGAAGCGTATGTATGTACAATGGAGAAACAAGTATAACGCCGGTAACTGTACCTGCCTCCATCAACGGTGGTTACTTAGACCATGTATGTTCTAAGCCACTCGCATCAGGAAGACCTCAAGGTAAGGTTCAAATATTTGTTGAACATACCTTGAGTACAAATTCGTGGTTATCCTCTGTTTGTCCCAAATTTTGTGTTTCATCTTAGGTACAACGTTAAGGTATATGGTTGGCTGCACAGACGTTGTGGGCCGGCGTTTATTGAGCCCCACCTGACGGCACACGTGTGTCATCATTACGGTCGGTAATGAGGGGTACGTGTAACGTTAAACGGCTCCATGGACGTTGGTTGCTGTTTCCATGTAAGTGTTTTGGCAGGTGCACAAACAAAGCTATCATGTAAGCAGCGGCAATTGCTTCCACATGCCTTGCTGAGGGGCGTATGTAGGTCCTACACCGGTGTTATAAGAATGGCAAGTGTCAAAGTATGCCCCATAGTTGTTGCATGCCTCCGCTATGAATATGGACAAAGGGAATATACCTGCGATATGGGAGGTTATCATTCCTACGCTGTAAGCCACTGAGTTGGGCTAAAGTGGTGATTCCAGCAGCATGGACGGAATTTCGTTTGTAAATGATATCGATGCAACAAATACGCGTGTGACACGGAGGTTGATGGTGTGGATCATGGAATGCGAACTGTTCACATCCCTTCGGCTGCATACTCTCTGAAATATGGCATGAAATGCAACGCGGACGTCTGTACCGATTCCAAATATTCGCGACATTATGGGGAGCGGTTTCCACGCTCTTGACCCACAACGCGCAAGCACTGAGGAACGGTGAATGGTAAATGGTGTTTCGAACGAACATGGGAAAGAAATACGTGTGCGCTTCACAGAAAATGAACTTACGTAATCAAGTTACACTCATGTTTCCCCAAAGTGGGCAGTTAGGCTGCGTATGCGGCAACATAAATGTCCATTGGATGAATATCTAAAAGGGGAGCAGTGGATGGGAATGGTAACAAGCACATGATGAGGTACCAACAGCACTAAAAGCGCTTAGTACATCGCGGCCAGGAGAGCGAGGTGATATGGTAAGGAAGGTGCAATGTAATACGAGGGTAGAGAATGTTGGTGACGATTACGGGCCCACCCACTGAACCAACCGCCAAGTGGTGCATTGCATGCAAGCCGATGAGTAGACACTAGGGGCTTGGAATGAGGCGCCAGAAGGGGATTGGACAGAGGGTGGCCCTAAAAAGGGCCGTGGGGTCGTTCACAAAGGTATGGGAAAGCGGACGTATTTATCATTGCGGACTCACCAGGAACAGGAGGTGCCAGGGATAGTTGTGCGAATTCAATACCAGTGGTGTTGCAAACGGGTTCGGATACGAAGCACAGAAGCACGGACAAGTGTCATGGGACTGAGAAAGTAATCATTGCAGTAGGGTACCTTACGTGAAATCTGAAAGGTGCAACGATTGAGCAGACGGGGTACGGTGATTGACATGCCGGCGACATGTTGGGCGAGGTACTCATTTGGGAGAGCTTGAACGCAGGGCACTGAAGCTAGGGTGCGGAGGGGACGCATGTTACTGATTGCTATATGGTAATAACGTAATGATGTACTGCCGCGGCGTTCAAAGTGCAGTCATGTGGACATTCACATGGGCGGCGCACTGGCGGCTATTAGGCGGTTCGGAGGCATAGTGCTAAAAGGTGTGTGTTTATCAAATTACCACCTACTGACTCCGTTTCCAAAGTGGACGCATGTGGACATACATGTAGGCGGTGGACTGGCAGGTAAGAGGCGGATGCGAGGCATACTTCTGAAAAGGGAATGGTAATCACAAATAAGGACGTACTCACTGGGTGTTCAAAGTGCAGTCATGTGGGGGTTCATTGAAGTCGGACACTATGCGCCGAAAGTTTGGATTATCCGCAAACATGTGAGATGATACCCCCAGCAGTTCGGGCAGCTCGTTGACATACACGGAAAATGAAACCGGACAAGCACGGAACCCTGAGATACCCCACTGAGGACTGACGTCGGGAGGACAGACTAGAGCACACGTCGGTCCATATCCCTCAGGACGTGAAAACGGCAAAATACCACCGCCGCGTTCGGATACGCCGACGTCAGCGCACCAACTTGTGCCATGCACTTGTCTGTAACCAGAGTTTGCACTGACGATGTACGAGGTAACATCTCTTTCATAGATTCCCCCGCCATTCTGTAGCTCTAGGCCGTCTAATTTAGCAACAACGCGTAAAAAATAGAATACCCTAGCCCCGTTATATCAGTAATATACAGTGCCACAGTATATAGCCGCCATAGTTCAACTGCTGCGTTGCATCGGCCAACAACACCTCACAGTAACGGGCAGCTATGGATTCCATGCAAGACGGCACGAAAAATACATATTTCACTATGGTTCCTTCCCTCACTACCCGACATGTGCCATTCTTCTCCAGCAAATGCGTCACATCGCACATCTTCGCGCCTGCTGCTTACGGTGACGCCTTGTCACTGTCTTTATGTCGTCTACTGTCAAAACTCGCCCATGCTTCCGGTTCATGTACCGACGAAGCTCACGGGTATTTCTAAACACCGACATTAGGCTCACAATCTCCTGCTCCTCAGCTTCCGTCAAGTGCCGATTCTGCGGATATAGCCACGGAATACCCAAATGGAAATCATGATTATGCCGCAGCTCCACTTCACCACGCTCGTAATAATCACCCTTCAATACTATAGAAAACCTTGCTTTGCAGCCCAGCATTCCATAACTATTTGGTCATGTTAGAGCACTAACAATAACACACTTACCGTTTACCTCGAACGTTCCGCCGATTACCATGCACACACTGGTAATGCACATATTGGTATGGATACCCCTCTGGCAAATCATCCCCAGTCATGCGTTTGTACCGAGTTCGAGTAACCACTGACCGCTTATAAAACGCAGTCGCAGCAGCCTGCTGAAATCTCTTCACATCCTGTTCCATGTCCGCAAATTTTCGCGAATACAATCTCACCAAACGATTAAACGTAGGAAGATCGTCCACCATGATGACAGCTTCCAACGACGCGCCAAGGTTCAAAACTGCACTTCGTTATCTACTTGAACAACAACAATAGTGTTAAAATCCACAAACTTTTATATTACCGCGTAACTTAACTCCGCATAAACTGTTCATTATACACCATACAACATTAATAAGCGGCATAGTCCACTTTTAGCACTGCGTACCATACCACCCTCACCCAATTACGCACATAACACTTTGGTTAGTATCCCGGTCCGATGGATCATTCAGGATTTTCAATCTACTATTAGCCGAGGTATGACTGCAATATATGGCAGACCGATTATGTCCTAACAAACGGGTCCCGATCTTGCGACAGCCAAATTATTGTTTCGCATTTTCACCATTGTAAATTTCCACGCATGGACATAGGAACAAGTTTTTACTGTCGCTGTTACAGTTGCCATAACCTGTCTGTACAGGTGCACATACCTGGTCATGCCTCCATGGGCGTGCCTCGCATAGTCGAGAATAAAATATTTATTTATTTAAGTACCAGTTAAGCATGAGGCAACAAATATGCGCGGAGAGAGGAAAGAACTTTAGAAGACTGGGGGTGATTGAATTGTGAATGAACAGCAAGTAGCCAGCCTAAGGCGATAGGGAGCGCAGAATACATAAGTAAAAATAATAAATAGTTTACCACGAGTGAGATTTAAAATTCACTTGGTGCTAAGGCAGCGGCAAGATTGGATGCAGACGTTCTAAGAGAATAAAGGTTATAGAGCTAAGGAGTGGCTCCTAACAAGCTCCGGATATGCGCAGTGATGCATGGAGCCTACGACAATTAGCTGCTGCTAAACAGAGGTTCCGAGGTTAAGCTGATCGACGAATAATGGCGCTATAAGCAACTATCAGTGGCCAGATGTAGCCATGCCATTAAAACGTTTAGTCACTAGTAGATACCTATAGTGTCACAGAATACATCGAAAAGCTAGCGAAGATAAGTGATACAGGCATTCCAAGGG